TTTTTTTTTTTTTAGTTAGCTTCTATAACGCAAACGATCGATTTTTTGATTTATTAGGAAGATATAGCGGAAATATTTAAAGTCGCAGACAAGGACAACTCGGGTACTTTGACGATTGACGAGTTTGAGGATGTTATCGACGACATTGTAATCCGTTACCCGCAAGTCGAGCTTTACTTGAAGAGCAAGCATCTAATGGAAGTGAGCGACTTGCTAAGGGGTAGATATGTAAATAACCGAGAAGAAGTCGACATTGAAGGTTTCAAGTTGGCACTATCATTGGTCGATAAACAGACAAAGAGCCTTCCTGCAACTGCTCAAGTATGTTCTATTCTGTTCTCTTCTGTTAAGTTTGGTTCGTTTTTTTCAGACATCAATTTAATGTTTGTCTGAAAATCAGGTTGCTGCTCAACAAGGAGCATATCTTTCGAGTTGCTTCAACAAAATGGAAAAGTGTAAAAGGAATCCAGAGGGCCCTAGAAAGTTTAGAAGTGGGGGCCGACACGAATTTCGCCCTTTCCAGTTAAGTGTCAAAATATTTGTTCGGTTTTGCACCAAAATCCAACGGAACATGAAACCGTGTGAAGTTCGTTCAGTTTAAGTCTTTAAAATATGTAACTTTATTATGTTCTTGGTTTATTATACGCTAGGTACCGACATTTAGGCCAATTTGCTCCTCTCGGTGGGGAGCAAGCAGCAGCCGAGCTTCCCGGAGATTGGGTTTCGTTTGGCCGGAGTACACAGTGGCTATGGTATTCGGTATATGCAAGGTCAGTGTATACATAAATTTTCAGCAAAAATCTAATGTACCAAACAAAGTGTTTAACTTAAACCTCTGCATGGCATCGACTCGACTGATCGATTTAGGGTTTGTTTTACGAATGCAGTAAGCAAGTTAGCTGGCGCACGAGGTTTCTAGTGATTGGTGATTGGTTGAGAAGGTTTATCTTCGGGAGAGATTCTAGTCGCATCTGAAAATCGATTGCAGAGGAATCTTTGCACTTTCATATGTTCTGCATCATTTTCTGAACGATACTTCTTTTTTTTTTTTCTGAAAAAAGGTCATCTGAGTAAAAATCATCGGACAATACGCGCAAAACTTTAGTCATCCTTTCGAAATATCATAACTGATGAATTTTTATCCAATGGTATGTATACTCACTCACCCAAGTGATGGTGCATTATGAACATTTAATCAATGAAGAAAAGCAATGGTGAATTAGCCTAAACAACAAATTCAATACAAAAATTTGCAATACATAGCTCAATCCACTTCATTCTATGTATTCACTAGATACAAAAAACACCATTAATGGGCAAGTTATGTACTCTAAATTATAATGCTTTCTTCTTCAATCCCATCTCTCATCAATAACAAGAATCTAAAAATCAGATCCAAACAAGCCTTGAGAGTTACCCATCATCTTCCTCAACTTCTTCCTCCTCTTCACCATAAGTAAGAGCTTGACAAACGGGCGGCTCTACCTCTTCATAGTTCTTTGTGAAAAACGATTTCTTTCCAAACAACTCAACCACTTTCGTAGCCGGGCCCGTGTCTCGAGGGCTTTCCTTCACACACTGAGTAATCTTGATCTTAGGTAGCAATACAATCTCACTCGGGATTTCCCAACGCTTTTTCACTCGTCTGTTTTCAACCTCCGAATTCTTGCTCTCGCCTGCAGCACTACTTGCTTGGGATTTTCCCACCGAAAAGGCACGTTTGTTAGCATCACATTTCTGACTAAAATCGATATCGTTTTCCGGCAAGGACCTCTTTCTTAATGAGGGTGTGCGAACCGAATTCTGATTGTTGTACTAACCACAACTCTCCCGGACCTCCTCGATGGCTTCTTGCTAGCCACAAAGCTAGCAAAGCCCGTATTTTCACCTTCCCCGAACAATTTCTTTGGCTGGACCGAGTTCAGAACCGAGTCATCCTTTTTCGAAGCCTTTCTCGTCGAGATTGTTGTCACGGCCCTTCTCGATTTCGGGCTCACGCTCGAGAAGCCCTTTTTGCTCGTCTTCCTCGAGATCGACTTCTCTTCGTTAATGTCCTGCAGCTTTCAGAAGCACGATTTTCTCCTGGCCGGCCCAAAAATCTCGGTGGGCCCCACATTCGTCTCCCTCCGGACCCCGGGCAAGATCTCAATGGGCCCTAAACTGATCCCTCTCTTCTGAGACTTGGGCTCTGCGCCAGTTTTCTTGAAATCGAGAGCTTTCATGTTCGTCATCAATCTTCTTCTCATCTAGAAATATTCATCCAAAGCAACCATTTTTTCATCGGAGCCCTTGTTCGGAAAACGATCAGTTCTCGATTTTTCCTCTACGGGAATCTGATTACTCTCCTCCCCCCGACATTCTCTTTGTCGGAAACCGAATCGAAGGATGCTTTTGGGTTGCTGAAAATCGACATCAGCGAGCCCCAACTCAGATCCTCGGAGATTTCTCCATTGTTGTCAAAGGCGGCGTTGTTCCATACCTGGAGATCGGCTGAGGGATCCATGGCTTCTGGAATTCGAATCACACTCTTTTTTTTTTTTTTTTTTTTTTTTTTCTTTTCCTTTCCCGTAATGGGTTTTTGGGTTTTTTCGAATCAAAACGAGAAATTGGGTCTTCAAATCTTGTTCCCTATTCTCTTTTTGGAGATTTCTTGCGAGTAATGTGATGATTTTCGGAATTTTGAGTCCATGTCCAGTCCTTTATCTAGCGCGGACTTATTATATACATGCCTCATGGTAGGCTCGGCTCGAACTGAAACGTAAGTGCTGACTGAAACGACTATCCCTCATGGTAGGCTCGGTCTTTACCGGTACTGCTCGAACTGAAACGTAAGTGCTGACTGAAACGACTGTCCGCTCAAATTGGAAAAATATATAAATAAACAAATACTAAGTACTATGCTCATATATACTCTAACAGATGTAATAATGCTCGATTTTAAACTGTTAACTGCGGTCCCACACAGGTGAAGCGCACCATAAGAGGGTTAGCCCAAATGAAGCCAAGTGAGGTTCCATCCAAAAACCAATTGGTAGTAGGAAGAGTAGCCCACTAGGCTTATAAGTTAGGCCTATTTAACCTATCAAATCAATGTGGGACAACTCACAAGTGACATTCCAACACGCCCCCTCACTTGTGAGTCCTTCATCAGCCCACGCCTCCAACTAGGCCGGGGATATTTTTCAGCCCACGCCTCCAACTAGGCCGGGTATAATTTTTAGCCCACGCCTACAACCAGGCTGGGTAGTTTTTTTTTTTTATTTTTTTTTAGCAGGTCCCAAATTAGGCCCGCTCTGATACCATGTCAAACGGGAGCAATACTAAATTAGACCCGCTTCACCTGTGTGGGACCGTACTCGTATTGCCCCCGTTTGACAATACTAAGTCTAGAAATGACTGATATAGCTATACTGAACTGATTCGGCTCGTAAAATAATAACATTTTCGGAATATACTTGAACCAAAATATACAAACAGAAAAATACTCGAACTTTCGGTTCGCTAACTGACTAGGCATTGTCGGGCGTTACCGACATGCTCTAAGACCGAATGCGTCGCATTTACTGGGCGAGCGTACACTTTGGCTACTTAATTACTGCAACGAGGCATTCATGGCCGAATTAACCCTTAAATGCTCGCGGCCGGCACGTTGCGCATGCTATGTGCGGCCAACACTTACGATCGATGTCTTACCGACCGTCCGACAACTTACTCTGATTGTTAACTCTCAAGTCAACATAATATGATTTGATAAACTTAAAAATGCCTCTACTCTAAAGTAAAGTGAAGTATTTGTCTCCATGTGTCTATGTTTTACTCTATATTATTTACATTTTATTCTTATTATTTTAAATTAATTTTAATACCATTAATACATTATCTTACATATATTTTGTATAATATATAAGTGTAAAAATATAATTAAATACAACATTATTTACTTTAAGATTATTTTATTTATTAGAAGATTAATCATGTATTTCCTACAATATGACTATTTTATTTGTTAGAATAATAATCAAGTGTTTTCTACAATAACATCAAGAAAGTTATAGTGCATTCTCTATCGATAATCTAAGTCATAAAATGTTACTAACAATATATATATATATATATATATATATATATATATATATATATATAAATTATTAATGTTGCCTACGTACAATGTAATATATATAGATATTATTTATAAATATTTAATTTATTGTGGTAATTTATATTTATATTTTTACTATCAACATTTACAAAATTAACCTAAAATACATCCATAGATAAAACAACAAATTATTTAAATCAACTTCAAAAATTACAATTTTATGATGGGTTTTATTTAAATCATCTTTTTATACTGGGGAGGAAAAATTTTCTTCATAAATAAACCCACCTCATAAGTAAACAATGACAATAATATATTACACAAATTATAGTGTAAGATAAACTTAATAATTAGATGGATAGACTAATGCATATTTATACAATAAATATTGTACTTTATTCATATTGTTTGTCATATTTATATTTAATTTAATTTTTTAAAGTGACATTTCATTTTAAACATATACATATCTATTAAAATAATATGAATATTCAATAATGTTCACCTACCCACGATGACCGCATGTTAATATGTCCACCGCTTATGTGGCATGCACACATTGGTGATGTTGATATATTAAAAAAAAATATGAATATTAGTGAAAAAGTTGGAAAAGGTCAAGAGACACTAACTAAATGTAGAAATGCCAATTAAAAACATTGAGAATGGTGTAGCTCATTTGAGATGTCGAGTAATAATTTAAAACTTTAGAAAATTAAATACTTTTTATGATTTTTTAATTTGAGTAAAAATAAAAATAAAAATTATCATGTGAGGAGTTGGTTAAATATTGATAAGAGTTAAGGACACCATAATCAAATTTAAATTTATCATGTGGTCCAAAATTCAATCATTTTCACAATCATCACCAAACAAAGCATATCAACTTTCCTTGTGTTATCCCCTCTAAAAACCTTTCCATGTTTAGGAAAACAAGCGAACAATTGATATGAAATGAGATAGATATGAGAGAGAAAAAACCGCACACAAAAATCACTGTACGCGCTCGTTAGTTTACAATTTACTTGTAACAAAAACCACATTTATATATATATATATATCTACATAAAATTGCATGTACTCTCACAACATTCATTCACCAATCCAAGCAAGAAAAAAAGCTTAAGAAAATTTACCAAGAAAAGAAGAATCTGCCGAGAAAGAAAGAAGGAATCGATTATGGCCTCCTCTGCAATTTACGACCTTTCTCCAGCTGAAGATTACTTTAATTACGATAGATATCCTCGTCATCATCAAACTCCTATGGTTCCGATATTCGGGTTTTTTCAGACAGGATATTTCGTTTATCCTCGTATTTGGGTTCCTCTGTATCCTCAATGTCAAACGCAGCCTTCTGATTTTGGGCTCTCTTATACTTATGACAACAACCCAGCAAGCTTCTCGGGACGGGCCGAATGTTCTTGGGTTCTTAGTTCTCAAGAAGAAGAATTCGGGCCACAGGATTATTCGTGGGCCCTCAATGCTGAACAACAGCCAGCTGAGAATTATTATATCGGTCAGTATAACCGAGATGTAACAAGCTTTTCAGGCCGGCCCGAAAATGAAAACTATCAGTTAGAAGAGGAGCTGAACGAAGAGGAAATAACAGCCGATTGGCTTGTGGATCATGTGGTGGTGTATGACTCGGCTGATTTTGATGATGAAGAAGGCCTGTGTGAAGAGACTATCAGTAAAAATCTGAAACTGAAAGACCGGATCGAACATGAAGCTGAACCTGAAGCTGGTTCTCAGATATGTGTTGTTTGCCAAGATTGTTTGTCCAGAGAAGATGAGAAGATTGCAGTTCTCGATTGTGGGCATGATTTTCATGCGGGATGCATTACGAGCTGGTTGATGGTTAATAACAGCTGCCCACTCTGCAAGGCCACTGGGATCTGCCTGTAGAGAATTGTTTCGAAGTTTTTCTTTGTTTATCGTTTATCTGGGGATCGAGATGGTGTATATTAACATCCGCCCGCTTTTTTTCAGCTAAAATAAAATTCCAGATCTTTTTTTTTTCTTGTTTTTTTTCCTACTAACAATGTGTACATCGACTTCAATACATACATTCTAGTAGTAGTAAGTTCAGAATTCAGAAATCTGCAAGAAGTTGAGTTATCTGTCAGCAAAGCCATGTAAGAAGGAAGAACCAAAGTAAGCAGACTCCGCTCACTTTGCTCGGTCGCTCCGCATACGCTCCGTTACGCTCGCAGGCATCAGCCTGCCTCCTTCCTTTGTCAATGTATGAGCCATGCCAACCCGGCACCACCTTGATCCCCAGCTACAAACATGATCATCCCCAGCTAAATTCTGTGGCTATGTATCATGTTATATTTGTTAAAAATCGAAACTTTCGACATTTTTGCAGATATAAAATGGCACACCGAAGGAAGTAAATTCACTAGCTCAAGCAAAAACAGACACACCACCTTCATTCATTCACTCAATCATGCTTTAATCTTTCCACAAATCAAATTGCACAAGATAAACAAAATAGCAAGCTTGCCAATATATATCTCAAGCGAAAGACTTGATTTTTATCATAAAGGCACAAAAAGGAATTGCATATGGTGATGATGGCAAAACGAAAAAGCGTATCATTAGCAAGCCCCATTTCGAATTCCATTTCCGTTGAACCCCTCAATTTACAAGAGCTATCAAGTCAGTACACAATTTACATGAAGTTTTTCTCCAGAGCCCTCCAACATACAGATATTTACACTTGAGTACATCGATTCATTTCCGAATTCTACCAATTTCAAGCCAAGAATCCAGCTCCGCTTGATCCCCATCACAGCTGAAATTGCAATTGTACCCTTAGGGTTCCTGGTGTTCCCCAATTTACTGATTTAGCGGCTCAGACCTGACCCCAGCAGTTGAAGTACATGACCTGCCGGAGAGATTCCTCCGTCCGATTCCTCCGCTCTTCGCCGCCGCCGAGAAACCCTCCGACCCCCGAGTCGATGAAGCCGGAGGATGGCCGGAGATTCGCCGGGTCCGAGCCGTTGCCTCCGGTAAAGATCCCCATTTTGGCGGGGTCTGAGTGACCCTTTGCCACCGCCATGCCGGCCGCCATGTACATTCTGTTCATGTAACTCATTTTCTTGATTATTGCCTTTTTTTTTGTTGGTTTGTTTGTTTTTGTGATCACTGTGCTGGTGAGTTGATGAAAGGGGCAATATATGGAGGATGATAGGGGTAGAATCGGAAATTAAAAAAATGCATGGAAGGACATGTGGCAAGCAATTGGAGCAACAGAGTGTGTGAGTCCTTGAAGCAATTTGTGGATAAAAAGATCTATGGAACAATCGGATTGCTCTCTTATAAAGTTATCTATGGTTTTATATATTGACGCATGTTCAATGTACATTTATTGTAGGACACATGTCAATTCATCATTCATAAATAACAATAGATGACTTCATAAGTTGAGTCATCCGATGGCTCTATAACAAAACCGCTGATTCCAATAAAATGGTGCTTCTCCTCGGTATGGTCTTCACGTGAACAATTAGCGTGGCTTTTATCAAAGCCCAAAGGGTGGGTAGCTTTTATGTTGTACTAGCATCGCAAATATTTTACTTGCAATTTAAGTGTTTTTTTATTAAAAAAATAATAATAATATAAATAATAAAACAATGGCTTTAAACATAGCCCAAAGGGTTGGGAGCTTTTATCGTTCTCGAACATTGCAACGATTTTACTTGCAATTCAATTCTTTGAAAAAAAAAGTGGTAATTTAAAGCACCGGTTTTTTTTTTTTTTAAAAAATGCTACAAGTACATAATAAATATACATAGAGATGTACATAATACTCACATAGAATGAAGTAAGAGGTAAAAAATTATTATTGAGGTAAGAAGTCAAAAATTATTATTTACTTTTTAATTGAGGTATGAAGTGAAAAATTATTCTTTAGTTGTCTGCTAGACGTAAAAATTAAATATAAAGAAATAAAAAATAATTCAATGACAATTAATTAAAATATAGTATTATTTTATTTCGTGTAAACAAATCTATATATATATATAATTGCTGGCACATAGAATTTAATAAAACATTTAATAAAATCTCCATTCATTTTTCCACTTATTTTTTCAATTAATGTAGAACCGTTATATTTTACATTAATAAAGTTTAATAATAATTTTAATATAATTTGTTCACTACTAACACTAATTGATTACAACTTTACATTAAATAATATGTGGAAGTTACATACTTATAAAAAATTGTATTGCAATTTTTTTCTTTAAAATATTTTTTATAAAATAAAATATTTTTGTTCTTTTTAAGCGTTTTTTATCTAATAAGTTAATAGGCATGAGTGTCATAATTAAACACCTTAAAATCACATAAACAAATGCTATAACAATGAAAAAAATAATTGTAATATTTTTCTAACTAATTAATTGTATGGTCTCTCTAAATTACTAAATTATATTAGCCATTAAAATTTATGGCATCAATATAAAGATTCATACGTAAGTTAAATAAATTATATTTACATTACACATTTGCATGTAGTCCAAATTTAAAATGTAATACATCAATTATTTAACATAAAATTTGTATATATTGCATACATAAATATAATATATAAATTTTTATTTTTCTTTGTGCATGTGCACAGATGAATACTAGTAAAAAATAAATTTTGCCACATATAGAAGTTACTAGTTAATTAGAACACGTTCTAATAGAATCTATTTTCACTAACATTTAGAGTTATTAATTAGCGATAAACGTGATTGTATGGAAAACAACACAAGACTCCTAGTGAGTCTCCAAATCCAAGAACTCATAATATTATGTGTTCAGTAATTTACTTATTCCTGATTATTAGTTCAGGTCAATTTTGCATTTGAAATTAGAATCAACAAAAATTTATAAATATAATTGCTAGCAAAATAATTAATAAAAATATTTTCGTTTCCTGTCAAAAGACGTTATAAAATTCTATGATTAATATTTTTTTCTTTTCACTTTATCCCACTTTTATCTAAATGTTAGAATATCTATTATTCAAGTTTTATATGTAATATCTATAATTAATAATCTTTTTACATAATTTTTGTCAGTTTTGTCACCCACTTACCCATATATTATTATTTTAGTTTTAGGGGTTTGAAATCATATCTTAACAAGTTTAATCCACCGATTTTATTAAATATAAAATTTATTTGTTACTTTCGTGTTTTTCTTTTATGTTATGAAAAGGTGTATATGAATTGGTATGTTAATACATATAAATTTTTATTACTCTATAAGATAATTTATAGTTTTATTTAATATTTTTTATTTTAGTTTGATAAATAAATTTAAATATTTTTTATCAAGATATATACCAATGTTTTGTATTATATATATAGTATGGATATCAAATTGAAAATCGTTAAAAGATGATTAATTTGATATACATTATATGAAAAATAAAATACAAACAAAAATATTATAAAATTATAAAAATAAGAAGTAGAAACATTTATATCTATCTCTATATATATAAAAAGAGAAGCTATTTACTAAAAATAGTAGCAAAAAATATAGGTCAGCATTTACTACAGTCTATAAATAATAGTTTTATTATTTTTCTTATTTTTTCTTAAAAGATCATACAATTTAATTTATAAATACGATTTAATATAATCATACAATTTAATTTCTAAAACTTATACATTATATTTTTTATTTGAAAACATGCTTTAATATATATATATATATATATATATATGTATATATATATATATATATATTACATTTTGTAATAAATTTAAATAAAATATGTTACTTAAATATTTAAATAATTTAAAAATTCAAATATTTAAACTAATTGATATACAATTTATAAATCTCTATTTTATTTAAATATGTAATTGTATTAAAAAATAATAAAAAATGTAGCAAAATTTATTTAGAAAATTGCAACGATCCTACCAGTTCAACTGACTGATGTTGACAGATTCAATAACAAATATTTTATTCAAGCGAACTAAACTAGTTATAAACTGATTCTCGGTCCATCCAATCGTACTGTGTCAAACACTGTTTAATTTAAAAATGATGTGTAAATCTTAATTAATTTATTTGTATATTTAATTTATAACACAGTCGTAATATTATTTTTCGTATATTGCACGGGCCACACACTAATTTATAATAATTGGTGTATCAATTAAAGAAGTAATTTGTAGTATTTAAGAAGAAAAATGGTATATAGAGTGAAATCTATGACCAATTATTTTTTATAAAAATTAATTTATATCCAAGCCTAAATCAAAAACATATTCTGAAACGTGAGAATTTGACACTTAAATTCAACACACTCTGATAATTATATGTACGATTTTAATATTGTTTTGTATAATTAATTGGTCAAGATTGAAAAAAAATGATTGCAAATTATTATATAAGTTAAATAATATATATATATATATATATCATTATTTTTTACTAATGTTAATATGTAGAATATAGAAGTTCATAATGGGGAGATTCTACGATCTCATAGGCAATTACGAAACCATTCCGTTAGAGGTTTGTAATCATTAGTTCGACTGATACATAATAATGTATCAATTACAAATCCAATGATTCTGTAATATTTCCCCTAATTATGATCCAACTATTACATATAACAAATAATATTTTATAATATAATTATATAACAAATATATTTCATTTGCATTTGGACATGATCTAATACGAACATGACACGCCTTGCTATAAGCAACATCACTTATATCAAATACAGTCCTCCATCTTTCTATATAATCCATTCCACCACAAAATTTTAATCAAATTCAGTCCCCGACCCTTTAACTTTGGCCAACCCTGCCCCGGTCCAGCTCGTTCCAAGATCCCGAGTCAGCTTTTGCTGTCCGCCCGATTCATTCAAGCTACTCGGTAAATTACAATTGTGCCCCTCGGGTTACACTGATACTCACCATTCAGCTCAGCCCTGACCCCAGCAGTTGAAGTACATTGCGTGGCGGAGGGACTCCTCCGTCTGATTCCAATTCCCGTCGGCGCCACCGCCGACGGAACCGCCGACGCCGGAGTTGATCAAGCCGGACAACGGCCGTAGATCCGCCGCGTCCGGGCCGGAAAAGAACCGTTTCTTGGCGTGGTTGAGGATCTTGAGTTTCTGCCCTTGGTCTGAGTGGCTTTTCATCGCCGCCACGGCGACCGCCATGTATATCCTGTTCATGTAACTCATTTTTTTCTTCCTTTTTCTATTATTTTTTTTTCTTTTGCCCTTTTTTTTATCCCGCTTCTTTTGCTTAATTATCTTTGTTTCCTTTTGCAGTGTAATAAGTGAGTATGAAGAAGGTGTATATATATATATGGAGGGCGGTGAGGGGTAAAACGGGAAATTGGGGAACATGGGTTGGGGGACAGGTGGCGAGCGATGAAGGCAACAGAGTGTTGCCGCCGCATGCAACCAATGGGAATCCAACAGATTTTGTAAAACTGAATAAATAAAGAGGAAAATAATTTTGATATTAATTAATAGTGGTTTTAGGGTTTAGGGGTTTGATTCAAAATTAAATTAAATTCGTATATGGTTGAGGAGGCACTCGAAATATTCCAATTGTTCAATTTAAATGAGTTTTGCTTTGATTAAATTTCGAATTTTGGTGGTCTGATTTGTTTTTTTTATTAATATATTTTTTTCTTTTAGATTTATATTAAATTAGTATTTGTAAATGCTCGATAATGTTCAGGCTTATCTGTTACACTGTGTGTGTATACAAAACAAAGGTTTTGGTGGTGATGTGGCGGGAAGAAAACATCTCACGTGGGATGATATGTAAAATAAGACGTGTAGAAATATTATTTTATTTAATACAATTTCCGAGGAAGAAGAGGCAATTATTTGATTCATCCATTCTTATCTACACGTAGCATTACACATGTATATATTATTAAAAAATACTACGGTCCGAGAACTGAAATCATTAAGTTGGTTTAGTTATCGTCAGGGATAATTGCACCAAACCCCCCTGTGTTTTCATAAATGTGCGCGTTTTACCTCTATGTTTTCAAAACTGTACCATACCCCCTTAGGTTTTGATGTCGACGGATCACGCTCCCCATACACCAAACACCGTTAATAATTTTGTAAACTCCCCGTTATGCCCTCGTATTAGAACGTCGCTCAACTTGGTGGTCTCACACCGCTCTCTCACAACACTCAACGAAAATCACGAAAATCACGGAAATCCACCAATTGAACATTCGAACAACTCTGCTAAATCATTTCAATCTCAGGTCGACGAGGAACTTCTTTGAATCTGAGGTCGATGGCGACTTCTGAATAGCTTTCAATATGGTCGAAGAAGAATTAATGCATCATTTTTAGTCCACGGCCAATTAGGGTTCCCGCAGAGCGATTTCGTTAAGGTATTTTGACATGTACTTTCTTATTTATTATCGTTTACTATGTTGTTTATTTATGGTTGAAAGCTTGTTTGTTGAATGCCTATATGAGATTAGGAGATTAGGGTTGT